GTTTCTTGAAACAAATGAAGAAGAAACGAAGATAGAGCTTCAACGTACGCTTGTTATAAACAACATAGGAATAAATTGCTATTCCATAGTGTCCCTAAATAAATAAAGATTCAATATTTATTTCATTCAATATCAAAATTATAATCTATTTTTTACTATGAATTTCATCTCTTCTTCATATACCATAAATTTATATTTTAAGGAACAATTAGCTTGATGTCATTTCTGAAGAGTCTCATACTAAGAAAAAACGGTTGTCCAGTGCTTCTAGGTTTTCTAGGGTAATCTAACTTAAATCAACTACTAAATCAGTACAATTTCCACTAACCTTCATTCTAATAATAATAATAATAATACTAATAATGTGCTCGCTAGTGACTGGCTTTAATGTGTTTAATGGAATTCTAGTAAGTAGATGTCACCATTCGAGTCAAACCGTGTCTGTTCTGAGGTAGTTACTCACTGAAGACAATAGTGGTCGATCGCGCGATATCATGGATTCGTTTAAGTCAGAGATTAACATTGTTGAATACCGGCTCAGTGATCTAGATGTTAAGCATTCGGATGTGAGACCGAAGGTCCTAGATTTTAGTCTCGCGTGTGGGATCGTGAATATGAATTGCTGAGAAGTTTCATACTGAGACGAAACCATTGTCCAGCGCTTTCAAATTTTCAATGGTGATCTGGCTTAAATCCACTCATGAATTTAATCAATAAATTTACAAGTTCTACAAACTCTCATTCTGAGAAAAAAATATTTCACTAGTTGAAATCATGAATCAATTGAAGTTAGACTACTATGGAAAAACTGGAAGCACTGGATGGCCATTTCGTTCTATTGTGAGACTTTTCAGCTTCAATTGACTCATAATTTCAACTATTGAAATTATTAAAATCTCCATAAAACCCCTTCTGATATGAAAAGAACTATTGATTTAGAAAAAAAAAATACTACCGAAATAGTTACATAATTGAAAATTTATTTATAATTGTACTTTTATAAAGTTCATTTGAAAATTTTTATCTTTAAAAACAAAGAGAACATGTTGGTAACAAATAATAAATGATGGATAGTGGCTAGCAGTGGAATCCATGACGCGCGTTTCGTCCTATTTGGGACTGGTCAGCTAGATGTACCTGCATCTCAGAGAGTTGATGTTCACTCTGGGCCTTGAACCCAGTACCATTCGCTTCAAACGTCATCGCATTCTCCACTTAGCTAATGAGTCCTGATAGCCACTTGCTTGTGCAATGGGGTGAATTTGAATTCACTTGGTATTGTTTGGTTTGTATCTTCTCATCGAGGTTTAAGACTGCAATTGATCAGTCTGTTATATCAATAACAGTATGCCCAGTATGCATATATGCTAATAAAAGACTTATCAATTGAAGTCTTAAACCTCAATGGGAAGATACAAGCTAAACAATACCAAGTGAAATCATAAATGATTTAAAGGCGATATTATTTTAGCAATTTTTGTTATTATCATATGATAGATGATAACTACATTCCATTATTTCAAGGAAAATGTGAATAGTGTACATTGTTTAGTATCATTGTAATATGAAAAATTGATTTATTTTCTTATTATGTACATATATATATATGAAGAGCGGGTGGGGGAGTGATAGAGAGGGAGAGGGGGAGGAAGAGAGGGAGAGGAACAGGATATTTATCATTCATATATTTCTAACATTTTTCAACTTGGAAATTCCACAGTTTTCAAAAATATTTCACTATTGAATACAGATGTCCTAGAAAATTCATTTTTAATTGATTTATGAAATAGTTGCTATAGATAATACCTAACCTAAGGACTTGGTTCATAATTATTTACATAGACCGCTCACCAGCATACTCTATCCAACCCTGTCCTAGGGCAATCCTTTCCAACTCCTTCCAGTTCCTATTCATCCTTTTCATATCTGCTTCTATTTCCTGATGTAATATGTTATTTGGTCTGCCACCTTTCCGCTTCCATTCAGGATTCCAAGTTAGCGCTCGCCTCGTGATGCAGTTTGATGATTCGCGTAATGTATGTCCTATCTGTTTCCATTGTCTTTTCCTAATTTCCTTTTCAGCTCGAAGGTGTTTCCTTCTCTCCCGCAGAAGGCTGTTACTGACGGTGTCCGAGTAATGAATGTTGAGTATCTTGCATAGACAGCTATTTATAAATACTTGTACATTCTTGATGATGGTTGTAGTGGTTCTCCAAGTTTCAGCTCCATACAGTAGAACTAACTGTCTTGACGTTCGTATTGAAGACTGTGATTTTGATATTAGTTGACAGACAGTAAGTTGTTTCCTTCAAATAACCAGCATGACAGTGATGCTGCCTTCACACAAGGAGGGGTGGGGTGGGGTGGGGTTAGAAAAAGTCGACCACAAAAATGCACACTTCGCCTTATCCCACGGATATCCGTCTCCGGCGTTAAGGCCGCAACAAGTAAGGAGTTAACACAAAAATTACCCATAAAAAAGTCGTGTGTTACCGACCTCAAGCAGTTGTCCTCGGGCATAGTGGTCACACTCTCAGGTCACTAAGACCACCTCTCATCCGGTTTCCTTTTCAGATACCTCCAGAAGAACCCCTCACGATAAGGGCGACCGGAAAGTGATAACAGCCCTCACACCTCTAACAGCACTCAAGACCGCTACAATGGATGAATGCAATCAGGCAAATACTCTTGATGTTTATCCCAATAATTTTACTGGACTAAATTTTCCAAAGATACATGGTAAAGCATACACCATATTTCGATAACTCATCTTTTGAGAATGTTACTTTTCACACTGGACTTTGGTCATCAAAAGAACATCTCTATCGCTCTTCACCAATCAAATGAACTATTTACTACGTATCGGAATAAAATTCACTGAAACTATCAGTTACACAACACTGATCAAACTGTGTGGTTGGACTAAACAGCTCATGCGTTTAATAATTGACAGGCATTTTGGCGTTGCTTATTCATATTAAATATGGATACGGTGAATACATGTTTAAAAAGGTACTGACCAAGCTGGATATTTGTTTTTAAACTTAATTTAGTAACCTACAATCTATTAGTACAAGCAACTGTTTCAAATCAGATTGCCTTTCAATTTCGGTCTACAACGGTGACTTAGATACTGAGTCTACGAGTGAAAACGTAGACTGTTTTAGTGAATCTCTCTTATGACGATACTCGTATTTGGTAGTGCTCCTATAAATATTTTATAACTTGTAACCTGTATGCCTTGTTAATGTATAATGTAATGATACCGTCAATTAGAGAACAGTGAATTATCAACCGGACCAATGTTGCATAAAACACGTACCAGCAATCTAGAGTCCTTATCGGTACTTCTTCCTGCCTAGCCTCTGCAATATGAATCAGTTATTTCAAACACACTAAGTTTACATACCAATCAAACAGACCACAACCTACCAATAAAATAGGAAACAACATTTGTACAAGATCTAGACAAAAAAGCTTGTGAATGTGGGAGGTAGTAATTGATAAACTAGGTCTTACTCAAGAATGGTAAATCGTATAATAATAGTTCACAGGTTAAAATAAAGCTCATAATAAGAGGGACATGAATATGAATAGTTTATTTATTTAGCAATGATATAAGATAAAAGTATACGTATAGTATTGGTCCATAAATGGATCCCCAAAGTTATCATTCGTTGTTTTGATCGGGATATAACATGAAGTCTATATGGTGTCTGGTTTTCCTGTGAAACGGCATTGAGCTTTACTGCTCAGGTTACAAATTTTAAGCCTTGGTAGTCTCTGGCTCTCCTAATGAACGGGATTGAGCTGTACTGTTTTAGTTGGCACATGAACGCTTGGATAGTGTCTGGTTCTCCTCTAAACCAATATAAAAATACCTCTGGCCCACAAAGATATATATATATATATCCAGATATTTAACCAGGGAACTCATCTGTACACTGAAATAATTTATCTGATATTCTGTTGACCTGGTACTTTAACTGTGTTTGGCTATTATTATTATTATTATTATTATTATTATTATTATTATTATTTTGTTATATGCCGATAACCATAATGAATGATAAATTTTAGGATCCATTTATGGACCAATAGTATACGTATATTTTTATCGTATCATTGCTAAATAACTACGCTATTCATATTCGTGTTCCTCTTATTATGAGCTTTATTTTGACTCATGGACTATTATTATGCGACTTACCGTTCTTGAGTTATGCCCAGTCTATCAATTACTACCTCCCACATTCACAGGCTTTTTTGTCTAGATCTTGTACAAATGTTGTTTCCTATTTTATTGGTACGTTGTGGTCTGTTTGGTTTGTACATAAACCCAGTATATTTGAAATACATGATTCATATCTCGGAGGCTGAGATTGGTGTTCTTGACTCAACTGGCTGGGCGAGACAGGAATCAGGACCAATAAGCACTCTAGACTGCTCTCACAGATTTTATGCGTCATTGGTCCGGTTGATAATTCACTGTTCTCTAATTGACGATATCAGTATATTATACATTAACAGTGCATACATGCTACAAGTTTTTACACTTCAACGCTACAATCTGAATCTTACAATTGAATCCTGGGACGACTGACTAAATATTCGTTTGAAAATTTTTTTACTGATACATTTCTTTATCATAAAATCACATTTACAATCGGTATAATTTTCTTGTTTAAGATTAATACAAAGTTAAATTTTGTAAATTATTCACTTATGAAATCGATTAGAATAGAAACGAATATAACCTGAAGTCTATGAAAGGAGAGAAAGAAGAGAAGAAAGAAAGAACCAAGAAAGGAAAGAAGGTAACCAAATTGAATCGATCAATTATCCAATCAATATGATCTCGTTTGATAATCATGTCCTATTTATGTTTAATTAATAATACCATTTGTCTATAATGAATGTGTTTTGTTTCTTTTTGATTTGTATTATGTAATTAATGAAAAACAAAAATGATCAATTCGATTCAATCGGGGTTTTTTGTTATTTATTCAATTGATATGAAAACTATTTCATGAATAAAAGTTGAAGGCAAATTTAAGTAAAGAAGAAAAAATCAATAAAAAGAAAGAAAAAAGAAAAGAGAATAGATATAGATAAAGAAGTTTTTTCATTCATTTAGTCAAAGTACAAAACACATAAAAGATGAATATTTTAAAAGAGTAAGAACGAGAGAGAGAAAATCTTCTTCATCTAATAGAACGATGTTTTTTCTTTGAATCTTTATCTCTTTATTGTTTGCTATTATTTGCATTATTCTTAAGTTTACATAATGAACGAAAATAGAAACTATTGTAGTGGTAGTCCTAGTTGCTGCCGTAGTAGTAGTAGTAGTAGTAGTCGTAGCCGTATTAGTCGTAGTATTCGCAACCGTAGTCGTCGTCGTCGTATTCGTAGTAGTAATGGACATTGTATTTTTTTGTTACGATCTATCATGTTTAATTTTGATGTTCAAATATTCAGTAAGTTAATTTAAAGAGTAATCTAAAAGTGAAAAAGATTAAGAAATGACTAGATATAAAGCTAGAAAGCAGTTGATAGAGTAGACAGGACAACACAATGGAAGGTTCTTTGACACTACGGTGTGTCTGAGAAAATAGTCAATATCATACGGAATTCCTACAATGGATTAGGCTGTAAAATCGTGCATCGCGAACAATTGACAAACTCGTTCGAAGTAAAGACCGGTGTCAGGCAAGGATGCTTACTTTCATCCTTTCGCTTTCTCCTGGTGATCGACTGCATTATGAAGACGTCAACATCTAGGGAGGAAGAATGTGATACAGTGGACACATATGACGCAACTAGAAGATCCAGACTTCGCACATGATCTGGCTCTTTTGTCTCACACGCAACTACAAATGCAAGGATAGACAACCAGTGCAGCAACAATAGGTCTCAACATACACAAATGGAAAACAAGATTATCCGATGCAACACAACATGCATCAATTCAATGTTAAAAACACGAAGTTCATCAAAGGGATCTATTTTCAACGAATTTATTATCAAGCTGTACAATCATATATAAATGAAAGTAATAGTTCCATGAGGAAATATGGATAAGGAATAACCAAGATGATGTAATAGAAGAATTACAATGCTAGATTACGTAATACGAATAATAACAACAGACTTGATAAGTTACTAACCAATTATCATCAAATAAATGTAGTAAGATGATTAAAATGTTTATGTTACAATAACTGGTGGGAACTAAAGGTAATTGAGGTACGAACTTAAATGAATAAAATAACGAATGTATGAGACATAAGTAAAGTGAAAAATGCAACGGTAATAATAATAATGATTAAGGCCAAGGTAACGATAACGATAGAACGTAATTCTTTAGTACGCATAGTTCTGGCTTGGGCTCATCGATGGTAAGAGCTTCGGTTACTTTGATGGGGTGTTGTCCTTTGAGCTGGATGGTTTGGTCGCGAAACTTTCATCGTTCTTCTGAACGACATCAACAGCAGAAACCTCTGAGCTACAAATCTTCACCAGCTTCGGTTATTTTTAGGAGTTGAATACGGAGAAATCAAGGGTAGATTTAGACGAATCGTATATACAACCTTAAAATCAAACTGTGGATCGATAGAATGATTACAGTCGATTAGATGTCCGATTATGGAACTTCTAACTGCTTTCCTCTCACCCTTGTAGAACCACACTTTTCAATTACTTATCAGTTACCTTATGCTCTATATAAATAAACTATACTGTGATCATTTACTTTATTTATTATTCTTGACAAGAAGTTTATCTACTTACAGAGAGACTTTATTCAATTTAATTCTTTAAATGGTTGATCTGACAAATTACACAATTAAAAGTAGTATCATTTGATTAACGAGTAAAAGTCTTGTAACTCAGATGTTTAATAAACAATACTGTATGATGATAATGCTGATATTGATGTTAATAGTAGACTTAATAGTAATAAATCCCACCTTTTCTTAAATGGAACAATAACTTAAGATATATAATAAGATCAAGAATTTGCGCCATTATGACCAATTCTAGGTATTACTTACCGTCTTCAACCACTGGTAGAGGTTATCATGAGAATCCTAACTAGGTATTCTATATTTGTCAACATGACTCAGATTATAGCTGATTGTATGTCGTAATGACACAATCAAGCTATAATGGCTGGAATACTCGTCACTTTATGTCCTAACGTGTTGGGCAGATAGGTTGAAGAACAGTATGATTGAAAGCAGTAAACTTGTGGCCTGAGGGATAGGTTTTACTCCCAAATATACCGAAGTATAGCTCCAGAATGGTGTTGTCCTGAAACAACCACCATCTGTATTGATCCAACTTTCTTATAACAAGTGGATGAGGTTAGAAAATATATGTCTCAAATAGTTTAATCATAATGGTCCCATATTGTGAAATTGTGCATTAAGCTGTTGGAATCCCATAATCATGATGAATCCCCTCAACATTCCAAGAACACATTGCTGATGAGTTTCCAACTAGCATGAAACATAAATGTTAAGTTATCTGACGATTACCGTTCAGTTTACTCAAGATATTTAACGATTGAAAATTATCATCACACACACAGAGTAATATGACATTCAGAATCATTATTAAAAGTTAGAATGATGTTTTCTTTTATTCTGTAACTTTCACAATCATGTATCAACCAACTATGATCCAAACACAGAATCATCATCATCAATGTGTGCTGAAGTGAACACAATAGATCATTGATAGATATGATGTTGAAATCCAGTGATTTATAAGCTTGAAAATTTGAAGATATCTATTTTGCACATCATCAAAATTTAGATTTAAATTCATTCTGATAAGATTATAAGAAGGATTGTTCTAGACTAAAATTGATTCTCCAGACTAAATTAAAACACTAGTGATACAAATTACTTAGAAAATAGACATAAAAAAAACAATATCGATTAAAGATTCAATCATCGATTCAGAAAAATAATCAACCGATCGAGGATAATATCACGCATGGAATGATCATTACATTTACTAGAGGAGAATGTAAAAATTTGTCTTTCATTCTTTCATATATAAATAATATCGACCGTATACTTACATGCATTTGAAATGAAGTCACCTGTCTTTCTATCCTGATAAGTATAAAATGTTCTATGGATTGATATTTATTTCAAAAATCCAGTTTGATTGATTATTGGTTTTTACAAAACAGGAAAATCGAAAATCAACTCGGATTGCAGTCGCTTTGTTTAGTTTTGATAAAACTATCAAAATAGGATATCATGAACGATTTCGTTCATATATATATATATATATATATATATATATATATATATATATATATATATATACCACTCTTCAACCGACCTGTCTGACATGGTAGGACCTTGAGGAACGGTTGTTTCAGCCAGTATAGCTCGGTTGCTTCATCGCGATAGGCAAGCGCGACCACCACGTCAAGGAATTAACAACGGTTGGGATCCACTGCAACAAAAGTATGTTATTTAGAAACATTTAAAGCAGCTAGTGTGATAGTATGAAACAGCCGAAGACAGAACATGTCGATAATAAATCTCTAAATGAATAGGAGAATTTTGAGAGGTGAAGTAGACTGTTCTGCATAGCTGGGAGAACCTTACGATCAGTTGGGTAATTTTTCCTTCTTATTTTAAATTCCTCATATATATACTCTTTCAAATGGTCCCTTGACTAATTTCGAAATCTTCAATCACACCAGGTGGATTTGGTTGTGCACGTGTTGTTTGTGGACTCGGCACCTTGAGGTCACGTGTTTAGAACCCCTGTCTCTGAGCTTTTAGTTTGCTCCACCCTGATACCAGAAGTTTACATAGTAGATTGATTCTCTGAATTATAATGAGTAGACAAATAATACCATAGTTCAATCGGCTTACTAAAATTATTTACAATAAATTACGCAGTCCACACAGACACACACGCATATTCATAGGCACATCCACATCCACATCCACATGCACTATCAACATCGAATCAGATCACACAGTCACAACACCTGATCGAAACCATCTCATTCTCACTCACTCACTCACTCACTCACTCACTCACTCACTCACTCATCGTCTCACTTAATCACTCATCACCATACATCACAGTAGTACCATACTGTGAGACCATGTTGTCTGTGAATGGGACTAGGTAAGGCACTGTCACTGGTAGGTGTTGTGCATTGCACCAAGTTTTCAAGAGACACGGAACGCTGTGAGAATATGTACAGTGTCACCTGATGGTTATGGTGTGACTCGACTGATTGTCAACAGTTTTGATGTGTTTGCGACTCGATCCAGCGCCCATTAACACTGCAGCAGAGATCCAACTCCTTACACCACTCAACCACAGGAAAAATGATATGATATGCGCAAAACTTATTTATCAGTTTATAATGACACTCCATACGTAACAAGTAACTTCTCTACCAAACTGAGATAATAGTACAACTTCCATTGTAAAACTTGTCATTTCTGTCACGTTCAATACCTACCTGTAGTGTTTGAACATCATCCACGCTAATAACGTTAAAAAAAAACTACTCAGTAAGCTAAGTCGCTGTCTCACATTTTTACACCTTAAATTCTGGTATAGCATGGATTTCGTGCACCATTATAAGGATATAGGTAACATAAAGTTCAACCAACCCAGTAGATGAAGTTCGGAAACCCTATTACAATTGTATGCTTAACTTTGAAACTACTTCACTGGTTCCAACATGCGCGGGTAGTGATTTCACGATCATTTTGACCAGTTTCTTGTAATGCAAACATAGTTTACCTTCCAAGAAAACACCCTACACTAGTAATGCAGTACAGATCGAAACACTGAACAGCGCACCTGTTTTTGTTTTGTTTTTACTAGCACTTGTGGGAAAGATGAATCAACTTGATGAAAATGAAATCGATAACAAGATTTCATCAACTATGAAATAACCAAGGTTGCACAGACTTCTAACACAAGTGACGACAACTAAACACACTCAACTTTACTGGCAACTGTCGACCTAACCATTGAGATAAACAAGTTACCAGGGAGTATTCTGAGTTTAGATGTATAAGATATCCACCAGATATTTTCCGATTACCATGTAGACGGTACGGAAGAATTAAATTTCTGTTCAACATGACTATATTATATTATCTGCATGCTATCGGTTTTCGAGTAGTGTACCCATAACAAACGTCAATGAAGTTGGCAACGCTACAGAATTTCTAAAACATTGTGAAACAGTTGTCAAAATAATAATATGAACTATATATACTATTGTGTCATTAAAAAGACTATGAATGTGGTAAATAAACATTTCCGTTGAATCTGAATACAGTACATTTTTAATATAAAATGAATATTTAATTATTAATGAAAAAGTATTACGATAATTGTGGTTATAGTTTTGATGAATCATTCCGGTTAAAAATTAGGGGAAATACTGAAAGAATTTATGTTGTTTAATAGAAGAAGATTGGTGAAGATTACAGATTGTTTCTAATCATAATATAATATTTAGTAAACCAGATAACACTACATCAATCAATCATGATAAAAAGTTGATTTGCAGAGAAGTTAAAAAGATGTAAGAGTAAGGTGTATTTCTGAAGAGTATTGATATGATAGGGAAGGTCTTATATACGTTGTAGAGTTAAACACCTTCAAAATGGATTTACTCTACTCGCCTATAGTATTGAATTATACTTATTTTTCTGGCAATACTTTGTACATCAACGTGTTATTTTATTTTAAAAAATATCTCTTCTAGTGGGCAGTTGTCTTGGATTTTGATATCAGCTTATTGAAGAGCTACATCAATATTTCGGTCACAAGAGCATCTATCACTTGGGTACATTTCATTTACTATTCAGGATTTTACCCGTGCACCACTCATAATGAATTACTGAAACATAACTAGTAAAAGTCACCGTGAACACAATCACCATTGATGTTTAGGATTGTAATTGATCAGTGTTTTATTGGCATATGTGCATCCTGGGTGGATTGTCCCGATATTGGCTTAATTCAGTGGAACCATTCAATGAAACAATACAAAATGAAATATATGTATGATTACAGTAAGTGGTTTCTTAGCATAAAAAATATTCGATATTAGTGTAAATTTCATATTAACATACATGTCATTTGTAGCTATAAAAACATGCATTAAAATATATTCCAACATTATTTATTAATCATTCATCTTCGGTAGTGTAAACGGTGGATCATTTCCACATTGAACAATATATTTTCTATATGATTTTTAACATTTCTTAACCCTAGTTTATCCAGTGAATAGACGAAATGAAAAACATGACAACAGCTATGATGCTTCTTCATGTATTCTTTGATATTTCTGATTTTGATAGATTGCATGCTTTTCACAAAATGATAAAACGTGATTGTCAATCTTTAATCTATATATATGGTTGATAGATTTTGTCGTTTATTTCCTTGATTAGTATAATCAAAATGATCATCATTTGATGTTGGATTCATTTGTTGTTGACGTCACCTTTTGTTTTTAAACTGTATTTATTACCTTTATTGAAAGTAGTTAAATTGACATATAAATTTGTAATGATAAATAAAATGAATAATATGCTGCTATATATTAAAAGTAACTCCGCCTTTAGCTCTTCTAGAGTTACTGCCGGTCCCGCTAAAAAAAAACGCTAACCAGAAAATATAATTCAAGCCATTTTAACTCTGCCCTGGGAGTTAGAAGGTCTTCATTTAGAAGAATTATGACGCTTCATGGTGAAAGCCGAGTTCCTTCGGAAGACACAAGTCCGGTGCCCCTTCTAACAACCAGAGTAAAAAAGTTTATAGGTACATGGAACGTTTGAACAATGTGGGAAACCGGGAAGACCAGTCAAACAACAACGGAAATGAGGAGATACAACTTAGCAGTACTGGGAATCAGCGAAAACCACTGTACACAAGCTGGACAGAAAAGGCTAGCTACGGGAGAGATGCTGCTGTACTTCGGTCATGAGGAGGAAAACGCTCCGCACACCTAGGGAGTCGCTCCAATGCTGTCCAAAGTAGCACGAAATGCACTTGTAGGATGGGAATCTCACGGATCCAGAATCATCAAAGCATCATTCAAAACAAAGAAGGAGGGGATCACAATGAATATTATCCAATGTTATGCACCCACCAATGATAGCAACGACGACATTGACGATCAATTCTACGAGCGGCTGCAGTCAATCATTGAGAAATGCCCAAGAAAGGACCTAACTATTCTGATGGGAGATCTAAATGCCAAAGTCGGAATAGACAACACTGGATATGAAGATATTATGGGACGACATGGACTGGGAGAAAGAAACGAAAATGGAGAAAGATTTGCAAATCTGTGTGCATTCAACAAATTGGTCATAGGAGGCACAATATTTCCACACAAGCGTATACACAAGGCCACATGGATCTCACCGGACCACACTACAGAGAACCAAATAGATCATATTTCCATCAACAAAAAATTCCGAAGGACAATGGAAGATGTGAGAACCAGAAGAGGTGCTGACGTAGCTTCAGATCACCACCTAGTTGTAGCCAATTTAAAACTGAAGCTAAAAAGGAACTGGACAAGTGGACAATCAGCAATACAAATATTCAATAAGCCCTTCCTTCGAGATACTGATAAAACTCAATGAATTCGAGCTAGCTCTGAACAACAGGTTCCAAGCCTTACAAGATCAACTGAAGGAAGAAGAAACTACTCTGGAGGACAACTAGAAAGGCATCAAGGAAGCATTAACTTCAACGTGTCAAGAGGTTATGGGCCTAAAGAAACACCATCATAAGGAATGGATCTCTACAGAAACAGTGGACAAGATCAAAGAAAGGAAGAACAAGAAGGCAGCAATAAACAACAGCCGAACACGAGCAGAGAAAGTCCAAGCACAAGCTGAATACATAGAAGCAAACAAGCAAGTGAAGAGCAGCATTAGAGCCGACAAGAAGAAATACGTGGAAGAATTGTCAACGACGGCAGGAAAAGCTGCTAGAGAAGGAAATATGAAACAGCTTCATGATATAACGAAGACACTAGCAGGGAAATACAGTAAACCAGAGAGACCGGTCAAAGACAAAG